TTGTCATAGATTTGCCTAAAATTATTCTTAATGTATAAAAATTTATGTATCATCTTCCCATATTGTCGACATAGAAAAGTATCAAGCACTAAAAACAAATACAAACAGTTAGTTTTGGCCAATTCATTAAAAAAAAAAATTCTTACTGAAATGCATCAAGAATTTTTTGTTTTTTTATGAATTGGTTGATATTAAGTGTTTATAGACACACGTGTTGTATTATATATATATATATATATATATATATATATATATATATATATACTTTTCCATAGTAATGGGAGCATTTGATTCTGCAAAAGCTTGTGAATTGTATGTGAATGTATATTACTACTGTGGAGACTTAGATATACTTTTGATGGCAACAACAACACTGGTCTGTACAGAGATGACAGTTATCCTCCTATGTTATACCAACCCATAAAATACAGATCACCTTAGAAAACAACTTAATAAATTTTTCAAGGATCATGGACTAAATATCACCACTAACACCAATGCTAAGGTGATTAACTTTCTGGACACCATTTTTTTATTTATTCAAATAATTTACAAACCTTTCACTAAAGAAATTTCTAATCATAAATACTTTAGCAAAGAATCTAACAATCCCCCAGGAATTTTAAATAATTTGCACAAATCAGTACAGCATAGGCTTTCTTCTAACTCTAATAAATTTTCGACAAATATGAAAATAAATATGTAGATACACTAATAAAAACCAAACACACAATCTAGAATATCTCGACAATAATAAAACTGACAACAAAATTTGCAAACACAGAAAATGCAACATGATTTAGTTTAACCGACCATATAACAGTAATGTCGAAAACAACATAGGTAAAATTTTGCTTAATTTCATCCACAAAGCATTTCAACAATATTCCATTGCACTACCGTTTCTTTTCTTTATTTTATTTTTACTATATATTCTTTTGTGCCTCCTCACTCTTTTTATTTGATGACTAACAACTTTTTTTTAGTTCATTTTGCAATAATCGTGTACGTTGACTTAATACACATTAATGGATCAATATTTTTCAATATCTACTTAAAATAGTATTTACATTAGTCGGACCATTGTCCTCATCTTTGTCAAAACGTTTTGGCCGGAAAGGTGGTAGGAATTTCGAAGTGAACCCTTTATTTCGATCACTGGGGTAGACTGTTCTAGTTCCACATTTGATTGGTCAGTTATCAGTTATCTCCTGCTAATTTTCCCTCTGAAAGTTCTCCACTGCCTTAACCAGGAATTGAACTCACCTTCTTTGGGTCTGTCACTGGATCTAACCAACGCCTTTATCCACTGTGCCATGTGTCCTTCAGAACATCTGGGTATGAACTTCTGAGTATTATAAACCTAATGTTTTCAGCATCATTTTTACCAGTGCTCATATTGCAATTTTTGCTGTTATCATTGCATGTCTTTTACCAGATTTCATATTGCAACTTTTCTTATCATTGCTTTTCTCTGGCACTCCTTATTACTGGTTCCCCATATTGTATTTATTTCTATGCTTGGTCGGCTCAGGAGATTTTGTGTGCCCTAGCATATGTGCTGATTCAAGTTTACTTAATTTTCCAATGGTGTTCCCTGTTTATGATCTCAACATGATCCCACAGGGGGGGTGATCATCCTTTTCTTCTTAAAAAAAAACGGTTTTGATTTTGTGACAAATATGGCGAAAAAAATGAGGACAATAGTCCCACTTTGATGTAAATACTGTACATAATAAATATCTCAGAAATATAGACAGAATCTACTTAAAACATCCTATATTTTGAATTTATACCCGAATACTATATTATATTTATAATAATATTGAACTTTGAATACACACACAATGTAGCAGTGCTCTGATGAGACCCAGAAATTTAAAGAAAACAACTATATTGAACATTTTGTAACTTTTTATACCTGATGATTGGCAAAGCCATGAAACTCTGAGTCATACTGTAAACATTTGTACATGTAATTATATATATATATATATATATATATATATATACTAGCAGTAGAGCCCGGCATTGCCCGGGGATGTAACAGTAAGAGATAGATCAAGTATCGACCATCATAAAGACTAAAAAATAAAATTGACAAAGATTATTGTTTAAGGTTGACGGACACGCATGTCTTAATTAGTTTTTTTTTTTTTTTTTTTTTTTAAACCCAAATTCAAACAAAAAAAACATTGTTTACAATCATTATGAGTCTATCGATTGGTGAATAGAATTTTATTATAAACAATTGTCTTGTAAATGGAATTTTTAAAGCATTCTGAATGTAAATAAAGAAAAAAGTGTGCAAGACAATAAGAAATACTACCTGCCGAAAAAAAAAAATGGATGTTTGTTTTATCGGCTGAAAAATGTAAGAAATCCGATCCCATATATAAAGGAACACATACACACACACACACACACACACACACACACACACAAACAACCTGGGTTTTTTAACCTAAGTCACTCCACGGAATCGCTAAAACATAGAGCATAGTCTGATGAAAAAGACACCAAAGTTTATGAAAACAAAATTTTATCGTCAAAATGCTTATTTTTTTATGAAGAGGATAGACTAAATTTTTTTTTAATTATTTTTTAAAAATTTTCCCATCTTTTTAGAATATTCTAAATTTTGATTTAAAAAAACTTGTTTCTCTTTGTCGCAACAAGGGGTAGTAAATAATAGATAATTTTTTTTTTTTTGTATTTACACACATTAATTTGGAAAATCTTGCAAAAATAAAAATAATTGTCAGATGTTAATGAAACTTTCAGAAACTATTCACAGATGATCGAAATTAATTATTATAAATTTTTTTTTTTTTTTTATTAAAGTCATGGCAGAAATATTTTTTTTATATTTATTAACACCCCCATAACTAATTTTATGAAAAAACTCTAGAAATTTGAGACCATTGGTTTTAGTGATTACAATAGTTAAAAAGCACAAGGCTTTGAAGAATGCAAATCATGTTTTTTTTTTTTTTTTTTTTTTTTTTGGCCAACATACCTGAAAATCAGCTGTGAATTGTAACATACAAAACTCAATAAAACAAATATATTATTTAGTTTCAAATGCTTTTATTTGTTTTAATTTGTTTTTATGAATATGGACAATATTTTCTGAAAGCAAAAAATTTTTTCAATGAAAATTGAATTTTTAATACAATTATTTCTTATTTCTTTAATTTTAAAAAATTTTTAAAAATGTTAAATTGAATTTTAAAAAATATTTTAACATTAGTTAAAAAGCAACATCAACCTTTCAAAATGTCCGTGTGAGATTGTCATTGTCTAGCGCTTTGAAAATTGTATAATTTGGACCAATCAGATTAGCCATGGTAATTAAGAAATGTAATTTTTGTGTTTATAGTCGGACAGTAATTATCAAGTACGGAAGACCAACCAGAATACAATTTAGTTGCATTATTTGAGTTCAGCATTGTTCTCCGCTGTTAAGCCCTTTACTTTTTAAGAAAACACGTATGGAGAAGTTAATTTGAGTTTTCAATTTCAACTGAGAAGGGTACCTACAAGTAACAGTATCATCTTATGAAATTTAACTACTGCTAAACTTTAATTTATATGATCTTATTTTTATATTAATCTCAGTTATGACATTTTTCCATAAATGAAATATCAAAATTAATAATAAAATGAATGGAAATACAAATAACACAGTAAAATGTAATAAATGTACATAAAATTATAGTATTTTATGTACATTTTCTGATAAAATTTCATAAGAAAGGTACCTAAATTAATTAGATACCTTTTTTCTTATGAAATTTAATCTCACTATTAACAGTCTTATTTTTAATTTCTTTATATTTTCCATAAAGCATCGTAAACGTAAAAATTAAAGCTAAGTACAAAAAAAAAAAATAAAAAATAAAAATAAAAAATTAGAGCGCTGAAAGTTTTCCTTAAAAGTAACAAGGTAAATAATTTGTTCACTTAAATAATTTCACTTCCTTCCATCCGTGAAAAATTCTCCTCCCGTAAGTTATCTAAACGTCATGAATGTGCCTTTTCGTCAATCGTCAAGCGACGCGAAAGGTTATGACCTGCTTTGTTTTATTTTCAAATTACATTTTTTCGGTTTTGCAGAAGCTAAGTTAAGCTTGGTTCAAAATATTTTAAATAAACAGTATATTTCTGTTTTTATTAAAATCAGTTTTGAAAAAATGATAATTGACTTTTAAAAATAATATCAAAGTAAGAATCTTTTATCAAATTTTTTAAATGATCAAAAATGATTATCTGTCCTTTTTTTGAAAAAAAAAAAAAATATTTTAACGAAAATTTCAGACATGCTAGGAACGATTAAAAAATGTAAAAAAATACCCCAAAAATTTTGATCTTTCCTCTTTAATAATAATATGAACATTAGACGATAAAATTTTGTTTTCGTCAAGTTCAAAGTTTTTTTCATCATGCTATGCTCTTTTGTTTACATTTTCGTGGGTGAGTTCCCCCCTTTCATTCTCACAATATGTCTTAATCGTGTTTTCAAATTGATTTTTTAAAAAAAACAACTGTATTTTTCCCATTTTCGGCCCCGTTAGAACCACCACAAGGTAATTTTATGTAGTCCTGTGAAGTTTTGTTGAAATCGGCTAAAAAATGTAGGAAATTCGATCCAACATATAAATGTGACACACACACACACAACCTGTGTTTTATAATAAGTAAGATATATGCACACATGAGGCACTGTAAGTTTTGTAAGCATGTCTGCATTATCAGAAATGATTAATCAAATTTTAATTTCATGGGTTTTTTTGATTAAACTTTCCATAAGTTTTTTTTTTTTTTTTTTTTTTTTTTTTTTTTTTTTTTTCTTGGAAACCCATTTTTAATAGGTTTGCTCTCAAGATTATTATCTAAATTTTTTTGCGATATTGGCTTGAAAAAAATTGGTTGGCTTTCAAATTTTTATTTGTATAAAATTTTCAGTTTTAAATGAAACTTGATTTATCTTTCTATAGAAACGACGGTCTGCCCGCAACACAAAAAGAAAAAAATATTGTGATGATGTTGATCTCAACTTTTCTGATGATAATCAAGAAATTGATGTAGAAAGTGTTGATACACCAATGTTTAGACTGGTAAGTTGCTTTGTTTTGGTAGAGAACATTTTTCACAAATTCCTACACTTCTATCTCCTACCTGATAATTTCCTGAATTAAGGAATTCACTTAAAATATCTAACATTAGAAAGTGCATAATTTCTAAAATTTTAAATCTGTCTCCTTGAATTCTGAATTGGGAAATAATTTAATCTCTCTATTACTTTTATCACTTTGCTGATGGCAAAATCACCAGATTTCAAATCTAAATTGTTGGTCCATTTAAAATGCCACATTTATTAGAAAATACAATAAATTTAAATATAGAAGTAATAAAATGACTTCAAAGGGCTGTACATTTTGGCATATACACTTTTCCCAGGAGTTGTTGCCAGGCAAAAATGGAAATTCTTGTGACACAGATGTCCATTTCATTTAAATTGTATATATTTATGCTTATGTGTGCAAATGTGTTTTTTAATTCAATGACAGACCTAAATTTATTTCAACAAAATTAAAAGCTTGTGTAGGATGATCGCTTGGGTGGGGGGAGCAATGATTGGAATTGTTGTCAATTACTGTTGGTGACCAATATATGGTAGAAATATTTTATGGTTTTTTATGTGCTACATGTGGAAATAACAGTCCACTTCTGTTTTATGCTGCTAGAGTGAGATTGCCACTAGAATGTGTTTATAATTTTATTTCACATGTATTTTTTTCTTGTTGCATTTTTGTATATGTCTGTATTTTCTCTAAGTAAATGTTATTTTTAGTGGATACTAGTATTTGAGTAGACACTCAGTTTATTTATTGAACAGTACATTTTATTTTCATTTATTAGCCTGAAAAAAAAAATCTTTTTGTTTATGTTTGGATACAAAATTGTGCAGATATGAAAAACTTTGAGAAATCTATGACACAAATTTTGCTTGAGAAGCATGAAATTGACTTGGCCATGAAAGAACATGTGGTCAAGCAAAGTAGTAAGGTGCATAAATCTAAACAGTGCCTCCCTCTTTCCCGGGTGATGCAAGTTCGATTCCTGCCGAAGGGCACAAAGTTTCCTTTAATAAGATTGAATATTCAAGCCAGTAGGTGAAAATAAATAACTAGACTGTTTAATAAACAAAGCACCTACTCAAATACAAATATCCACTAAAAATAATGTTTAAAGTGATACAAATTTGTTGGATTAATAAAATGCACCCTAAAAAAATTCTTTGAGTACTGTGTAAACTTTAGAGTCTGTCTATATTTCTGAGATGAGGTATTATGTACAGTATTTACATTAGTCAGACTATTGTCCTCATCTTTGTCGCCATATTTGTCACAACGTTTTGGCCGTTGTATGCTCCGGCCTTCTTCAGGTGGTTGGAATTTCGAACTGAACCCTTTATTTCGATCACTGGGGTAGACTGTTCTTCAAAAGCGTGACAACACTTCGCAGATATCTCTCACGAGTGAGACCCCCCACAGAGAGGAACATGACTAAAGACTGTGTGTACGCTATTCCGTGCAGCTGCGGAAAGGAATATAAAGGAGAGACAGGCCGCCCCCCTCAAAGATTAAGGCTTCAAGAACACCAGAAAGCTGTAACGCGAGGGGAAGTAGAAAAATCAGGCGTGGCTGACCACATATGGAAAGAGAAGGAGATCACCCCCCTCTGGGGATCATGTTGAGATCATAGACAGGGAACACCATTGGAAAATTCGTAAACTTGAATCAGCACATATGCTAGGCCACAAAAATCTCCTGAGCCGACCAAGCATAGAAATAAATACAATATGGGAACCAGTAATAAGGAGTGCCAGAGAAAAGCAATGATAACAAAGTTGCAATATGAAATCTGGTAAAGACATGCAATGATAACAGCAAAAATTGCAATATGAGCACTGGTGAAAATGATGCTGAAAACATTAGGTTTATAATACTCAGAAGTTCATACCCAGAAGGACACATGGCACAGTGGATAAAGGCGTTGGTTAGATCCAGTGACAGACCCAAAGAAGGTGAGTTCAATACCTGGTTAAGGCAGTGGAGAACTTTCAGAGGGAAAATTAGCAGGAGATAACTCATAACTGACATCCATCAAACGTGGAACTAGAACAGTCTACCCCAGTAATCGAAATCAAGTTTGAAATTCCAACCACCTGAAGAAGCAACCACCGAAACGTTGTTACAAATATGGCGACAAAGATGAGGACAATAGTCCGACTAATGTAAATACTGTGTAAACTTTGTTTTAAAATGTTTATTTTTAGTTGATATAAAAAGTTTAATAAATGTTAAATTTTTCTGTTACAGTTGATTTTTTTTTTTTTTTGTTTTGTATTGTTTGTTCTTTCAGGAATTTTGTAACCCAAAGTTAGTGGTACATATTATACTCAACTTAGTTAAGAATTGATATGCCTATAAACTAAACAAACAGTATTAAGTTCCAGAAGCAGGAAATAATTCGTGATTGGGTGTGATATTATTATTTTTTTTTTCCTTCCTTCCTATCAGTCAGTGTTGCATGACAAAACAGACCTTTTCTAAAACTATTTGGGCAAAACCCATTGAGAGATTCATGCCTTTTCAAAATCTACATTTCCAGTTTTATTTTATTTTTCCATTTAACAAATTTTCTAGTGATATTTTGTTCATGTAATTAACTATTTCTATTTTAGCTTTTATTTTTATCTTGTAAAATGAAGAAATCATACTGAAGATAAATTTCATTCATATGAATGAAACTTGTATTGTCAAAGTATTCACATTGGACATTGCAATCAATTACAGTCTTCCATGTCTTGCTTTAAATTCATAAAATTTTGTTCCTATTATCATTTGTTTATGGTTTATTTATGCTTTCCGTGTTTCAGCCGGATGCACCATTAGGAGAAGAAGTTTTGATTGTAGAAAAGATCTTGGGCATCAGAACAGAACAAGTGCAATTGCCTGTAAATATTCACTTTTTACTTTTGTCTTTTATTTCTTTTGTAAAATTTAAAATTCTACAAACACTGTAAATGAAATGAAAGAAACAAGTGGAAATAAATCAATATCTATCACTATTCTGTCTTTTTGCATAAAAAAAAAAAAAGACATGATTTTTAAGGACAGGGTAGGTTTTCTAGGATTAAATGCGAGGAATAGTGAAAAATTGAGATTTATATCCGCAGCATATTTTAAATGTAGCCAGCCAGCCACACACACACACACACACACACACGTGCGTGTGCGCAACCATAAAAAATTAGAAGGAAATCGTTAAATCAAAAACTTCTTTTTTTTAATAAATATATAAACAATTTATCAAAACAAAATAATAAATTACATTAATATTAAAAAATATATATATATATATATATATATATATATATATAAAATATAGTTGGAATTGGCAAAAAGAATTATATCGATTTGCATATGTTAACCTTAAGAATATTTGAGCGTTTTAAGATTAAAAATTGAGAACCAAACAATATTTTTACTTCTGTTTATAAATACATTTTGCAAAATAAAATTCTTACATTTACTTTGTTAAAGTCCATTAGAGGACAAAACATGTTTGTGAAGAAAGGTTTTACTTGTCTTTATTTACACACACAATATTAACTATGAATACAGCCACAATGGAATAACTGTATTTGGGAATTATGAATATGCCTATGATTCTGAAACTTTCACAATGGTTAGAATAGCACTTAAACATCATTTACGATAGTGCCAACACAATCCTTAAAAATGGTTAATAGTTTAACCAAAAATGCTCCTATTGAACAATCATTTGGACAGTTTCTAAACACACTTATCACCCCCTCCCCACCAAAAATTAATAAATCAACAATTGAGTAAAATTTATTTTGTTGAAGGTATTAAATATTTGAAATCAAAATAAATCATAAAAGTTGGAAGAAGTTATGCTTTCTTTTCATGTTATTTTGAAATCTGTTGTCGGTGGTGGTGGTGTTTTTCTTTTTTCTTTTTTTATATAGTTTGTGTTACCTTTATATTTAAGGGAATCATTTAAAATGAATTGTAAAAGGTTTAAGTCAAATAATTGATCATTAAAAAGTTATATCTGGAACATTGTGCATTTTCCGCTATCATACACCCAATACTGTCAAAATCTACAATTCATATTGTAAATATAGAGGCTTAAGGAGAATTTAGAGGAATAGGACTTTAATACAATGTATATCAAAATCCAAAATATATGATAAATTTGGTAATATGTTCCATTGACTATGTTCAAGAATTTTATAAGAAAAAGCATTATTGGCAGCAAATTTTGAAAATGTTAGATTTTAGTTTTTATACTTCTCAACCTTTATCTGAGATGGGATATTTTAAACTTAGGTGAAAACTTTGAAAAAGTAATTTGTTTTTAAATGTTTATTATAAATCAATAAAAATCTCCCAAGGCAAGAATTTAAATAAAGTGGTTTGCTTTTCAAAGACGTATCAAAGTGTTTATCATTAAAGACTGCCTTAAAACCTCCTTTTGTGTATTTTGTTAAATTGTTGCTTGACACGATCTCCAGCTTTACATGTAAACAAGTTAGAATAATTTATTCATTTAAAAAAATTTTTTTTTTTTTTTTTTTTTTTTTTTTTTTTTTTGATTTCAATTCTTTGTACATGTATTTAATTTTCGTTATGTTCAATGATACACATTTACATTTTTTTTATTTTCAGGATTCTGATGAAACAAAACTTGAGGAACAATTTTATGTAAAGTACAAAAATTTGTAAGTGCCTTTGTTCATATAAATTGAACACCTTTCTTAATGGTTAACTAGTTCATCTCTCATACTAGTTATATTTTATATGTAGTGCTTTTTTGTTTTGTTTTTCATCAATTCCCCCCCACAAAAGCAAGGCAATAATGCCACTAAGATGCAAGGGGCTACTGGGAGTAAAAGAGAATGAAAAAGACTTCAGAAAGAACCAAAAATTCAATCCTAAACAGGAATCAAGGGATAAACCTCTATTTCTGTTCAAAAGACCAGGGAGGAGTGTTAACTGCTGTTTTACTATTGTGCTTTGTGCAAGAAAAATCTAAGCTTAGTAAAGAACCTATCATCTTAGTAGTTATGCATTATTTTAGTTAGTTTTATGGAGCTGAATTTCTGAAGTAATACTAAACATAAAACCAATTTAAGTTAATTCCCTAATTAGTAGTCTGACATATACTCCTGCATTTTTAAGGACTAAAGATTTAATCTGTATCCCTTTTATCACTTTAAACATTAATTTTAGTGGATACTCATATCTAGAAAAATGTGCTCTTCTGCAGGATTCGAACATGCAATCCCCCTGGGCATAGGGACCCATTGTTAGATCCAACATGCTTTAACCAACTTGGCTCTGTTCATTCTTTATGAATTTGTGAGAAAGCATTCTCTCCTAAGCTTTGTTAAATGGTGACTGAATAGATGCTTTCCCATTAATATATTGAAGATTTATAGCTAAGTCTGACCCGATGTTTAAGTTTTTTTGTTTTTTTTAAATGTATTTCTACCATTTCCATAGCACTATTTTGTTTTTGTATGGAAGTTTTAAATGAGCATGCACAAATTAAAAAATCCTCCTTCAGTGTTAAATCATGCAAAAGTTCAGCTTCTGATTCTGCACTCTAATGAATAGTATAAATTTTAATTGGTAAAATTTAAAGAAAATTTTTTAAGAAAATACTGAAAATTCTTTTTTTTTATTGTTCATATTATTACTTGTGATATAATTTTTTTCAGTTTTCAATTCTAAAATATTTTATTTTTTTAATTTAGATCTTACCTTCACTGTGAATGGAAATGTGTTGAAGACTTGTCATCTGACTTAAGAATACAGGGCAAAGTAAAACGTTTCAAGGCAAAGTATGCATTAAATCAGTTTCTCATGGTAAGTATTATAATAAACTATTCACAGTACTATTATTGTTATAATTCCTCTTTTTAATTCTTCATTTTTCCTGGCATTTCATTTTTTACAGCCTGATGACGGTGTCCTGTTTAACCCTGCCTATATTGAGGTGGACAGAGTACTTGATATGGCTGTTGATGCTGATGGAAATGTTACCCATTATTTTGTAAAATGGTGTTCTCTACCTTATGAGGAAAGCACATGGGAACTTCCGAGTGATGTCTCTGAAGAAAAAATAGAAGAATTTGAGAGATTTAAAACAATACCATCTGATGAACAGAAGGTATGAGTTTTCTTCCTTTAAATTAAGCTCCTTAGGAATGGTAATACTATATATTTATGTAATGTCCTCTTTTGGTTTTATTGCTGCTTTTTGTTAATATATTCTGTTTGTATTTAATATGCAATCATAAAAAGTTGATTAAATTTGAGATACTTTTAGTTCAAAAAATTGAAAACTAAGGCTTTATGGCAGTTTGTGGTGTTGTATCTCATTAGTCATAAGTTTTAAAATAGTAATTTTATAATCGTCCTTTTTTTATCTCAGTATTTGTATGTTTGTTTTTTGTTTTGTTTTTTGTTTTTTTTATTATAATAAAAAAAAAATACCTGTTAATAAAATCTTAGACAATGTTGAAAATGAATTTTGTATAAAATTTAAAAAAAAATTTTTTTTTCTTATACAAGGAACGTCCTTCACCATCAGAATGGAAGAAATTAGAGGAATCCAGAGAATACAAAAATAATAATGTTCTCAGAGAATATCAATTGGAAGGAGTGAATTGGCTGACATTTAGCTGGTACAATGGGTATGTATGTTTGTTGTTTTTGGGTTTTTTTTTCTTCAAATTTGTTGCTAACAGTTTGCTCTTGCTTTAGTCTTTTTGTAATTAAGCTCTTAATACACTAATATTTATATAGAGCATGGTAATATTTTCCCTCTTAAATTATTGAATTTACTTAACCATTACTAATCAGAATTGCGGTGATATGGAAAGGGTTTTTTTTTTTTTTTTTTTCCCTTTAAATTTATCCCCGCCCTTTCATATTGAAAAAAATTGTTCTAAAAGATATATATTCTATTTGTTTATTGAATTGAGATTGTTTTAAAAATATTCATGGTTTGGCTTAAACTCATAAATTTTTTTTTTTCTAGACGGAATTGTATTCTTGCTGATGAAATGGGATTGGGAAAAACTATACAAAGTATTACATTTTTGAATGAAATCAAATTACATGGGATCCATGGACCTTTCCTTGTGATTGCTCCTCTCTCAACTGTTTGCAATTGGCAAAGAGAATTTGAAAATTGGACTGATATAAATGCAATAATTTATCATGGAGGGTGAGTATATTTTACAACTTTTTGGAAAGGATTATTAGCAGAGGTACAAATAGTTTCTCCCTGATGTTGAGCATGATTACATTATCATGCCCCTATCCAGTTCATATTCCTCCTTGGCCTTTTGAACAGGAGTAAAGTTTTATCCCTTGTTTCCATGTTAAAATTGGGTTCCCAATTTCTTCTAAGGTCTTCTCATTCTCTTTTACTACCAATAGCCCTTTGCATCGTCTTGCTTGGTGTGAATTGCTTTAAAAAAATAATAAAATCACTTAATTTACTTGATATCATTTTTATATATGCTATATTTTATTATAATTATAGAAATAGAGTACAGTTGTTTGTAAGAGTTTGATACAGAATTTTTTAATACTCTTTAATATAACCTAATCAAGAAGGTTACATAATATGAAAATGCTGATGTTTTGTCCTACATCCAGGCACTAGATCACTTTCAATTGTTTATATCAAAATAAATAGTTCCTGACGATATTAAGTTGGAAAGAAAGTCCTGTCACATTTGAAGATGGAAAATGGAAAAGAAACAGATGATTCTTTAGTTTTAATTGATATATTTAATCAAGATGATTTTTTCCCTCATTATAAATAGCATAATTTCATCTATTTTGCAAATAATTGATCTCTATTGTGAGATTAGTAATGCTGAGTGAAGATGGAGAAAAATATGGTAATTAATTGGGTTGGGACCTGATTAAAAAAAAGTTTGCTTTAAAACTATTCATTTGAACCTATAAAATACTTGAAGTTATCAGAGGCATTTGAATCTAAAATAAACCAAGATTCAGTAAAATCCAGTATAACTGAAATTTCCTGCCTTGACACACCGCCCCAAGGAAGCTGTGATGACATGATTAATGTTTGCTAAAATTCTGTGAAAAAAAAAAACCATGGAATTGGGAAATGTTATTTTAAAAACCTATTCAGCAGATATGCATAAAAAGATTACTAAAATGTCTGGTCTTGAGTTCTTTAGAAGCATGGGTCACATACAATACTAATAGAAAGTTCTTCCAGTATAAAATTCTTCAAGCTTTGATGTAAGAAACTCATGTCAGTTTTAACCCTGAATATATTGAGGTGAGCAGAGTACAAAAAGCTTGTATAAATTTGAAGTTTAACATATGTTTTCAATTGGCAGATTTGTTTGTCATTTCTTTTTCATCTTTTCCTTTGTATTTGTACATCTTTTAAAATTTTTTAAAATTTATTTTACTTATTTAGAAATACTTTGAATAATGAGTTGTTAATTCAGTTGTGTAAATAAATATTGCAGTCCTGCTCAACTAAAACAAAATATAAAATAATACGAGTATATTAAACTGTAAAAGAATTTCACTTTCTTAAAAATAGGCGTAATTTAAAAAAAAAAAAAAAAAACGAACTTAAGTCCTCCAGTACCACTGAATTTCTAAATAAATAAAAAAAAAAAAAAAAAATGCTTGTCTTGTGCAGACGTTTGGAAAATTCAGATTTTTTTCCAAGAAAGATTTTCATTAATTTTTGTGCAACTAACAAATTTGCATTATCACAATGAGGACAGATGTAAGTTGTTAAATTTAGAATAGTTTATAGGGAAAAAAAATGGATAATTTGAATATTTTGTTAGCAAAATGTATAGCCCAAGACACAAATTACAAATTGGAAATACAAAAATAAAACAGGTGCAACAATTTGAATATTTGGTAAGTGTTTTAACAGAGAATAGAAAGTGTGACACTGAAATCTGAAGGGATAGTGAAAGATGCTTTTGAAAATCTAAGCAAAGTATTAAGAAGCAGAAAAATTTTATTAGAAACAAAGAGTACTGAACTGTCGTGTAATATCAGTCCTAAATGGCAGTGAATAATCTCCCTGTAGATAAAGAAGACTTGAAGCAAAAAATGTGGTTCTACAGAAGAATGCTGAGAATACCATGGACAGAACATGTGAGCAATTACTCAAGACAATGGAAACAAAAAGGACACTTATGTTTATCAGGAAGAAACAGTTGAAATTTCCGGGGCACATAATGAGGAATAAAGGCTTGGAAAATTTGATATTCACAGGACTGATTGAAGGCAAGAGGGACAGAGGAAAATGCTGCATAACCTGCCTGTTGAGCTTGAGTGAATGGATGGTGGAATGGGGTTTGGGAGAGACAAAATTTATTAAGACCTACAAAGGAAAGGAAGCTGTGGGAAGCCATGATTGGCAATATCCTGAAGAGACTCCACACATATATACTTTTGCATTTCATTTTGAATTCACTCTGAATTTTTTTAAAATGATGGCCTTTTATACATATTGGTCAAATATTCCTTATTGAATGTACATTTGATATTGACATGCCAAATGTTCATTCAGTCTTTGTTTATTTTCTCTTATTAATTATTATATTTTTATTATACCAATCTTTATTTCTTTTTTAAAATACCCATGATTTCTCTCCTATTCAATTTTGGGCATCAATTTGCAGTTAAGAGAAAAAGTCAGTACATCTTTCCAATAACAAAAAGTACTTTTTAACAAAGTAGAATATTTGGCATAAATGACATTAGCATCATCATTGTGTATTATTTTTATAGATGTTTGATTTGTGATTCTTATTGAAATTAGAAAAAAAATAAGTTACTTTTTATCTGCATATTTTCTTAATAATTATTAAAAATTTATGTAAATGTTATGCATACAAATTCTTAAATTAGGCATTTTGCAAATGTTTTTAAATATTTATTCGTTTTCATCCCTTTATTATATTAGTCTTTTGTATATATTTAGAATTTTAAAGAAATATTTATCATTAATGTTAAATATCCTGACCTAAAAGTGCTGTATCTTTTTATAAGACAGTTTTCTTTTTGTCTGCTGCATTTAATAGTTTCATTTTTACCTCTTACTCCTTTTGAAATATATTTTCAGATTCTCTCTTCTAAATTTTCTCTTTTTAAAATCTATCAATTTAACTGTTGTTCTTTCTTCTTCTTAGGAATGATAGTCGGCATATAATACGAGAAACAGAGTTTTACTTTAGAGATGAAGTAAGTTGCTTTTTATCTTTTTCTCCACACCAACAAACCCTCTAAATTTTTTTTTCTCTAGTTATAATAATTGTAATGCAATATGATTCAGATAATTTCATTTGTCTGTCAAATAATTTAATCAGTAGCAATTGTAAAATACATTAATAGTAACAAAAAAGTAAAAGCAAAAACTTTTGAAATATTAATGTAATATTTTGTATTTTCTTTTCTTAAAATGTCATAATTTAATTTGATCATGGTTGGTAATAATTCTAAATTTTTTTTTTTTTTTTTTTTTTTTTTTTAATCATTTGTAAACAATTTTCTTCAATCTTTTAACTTTTTCCTCCTGCTCTAGAATAATGAAATCATCCAGGGGATGTATAAATTCAGTGCTTTAATAACAACATTTGAAATGATCATCTCTGATTGTGATGTACTAAGCAACATTGAGTGGAGATGTGTGGCTATTGATGAAGCACATCGCCTGAAAAACAGACATTGCCGTCTTATTGAATATTTAAAGAAATTTGATGTGGTTTGTAGCGTTCTTATTTTTTATGTATGTATGTGGGTGTGTATGATAACTTTTGGTTTCATTATTACATATTACTTTAAAAAGCTTACATAGCTCATCTTTGGGACATATCTTTGATTTCACTAATGCACATAACCCTTTAAGGAGAAAATATTATGAAAACATATTCATAACATTACTACCAACTATAAACACTCGGTTAAAACGTTACATTACATCATATCACTATCTTTCTACAGATTCATTATTCATGAATCTAACCTATGTCTATCTAATTCACGAAGTAATAAAAATACACAAATCCTTTTCAAAAGCATGCATGAGAAATGCTTTAATGATATATCTAACCAAAACATGATTATTACAATATCTTGCTGCATTTTACCAACTTGCACAGAGGTGATGATAACAGACATTCTCCACACACACACGAGAATATAAAAATCCAACCAAATTCAATATTATTGCAACATTTTGCTGACATATATGAGGGTGACATCTATAGATATTCCTCTCTCTCACACACACAGTTACATGAATTAATGTTACCATCTAACATACAGCTAGACAAACAAGTGTTTCTTTACATACTCGCTTATACACTTTAATGGTCAAAATGTTCCTCACACATTTTTGTTATTTATTGCGTTAATGCATGTAACGCATATCTGACCAATAAGAACTAAGCAAAAATCATAACATACCAGTACTCTGTGTCTCTGCTTTTTCATTTCTATCTCAATCTCTGAAGAAGCTTTAATGAAAGTGAAACATGTTAGATTGAGATATGTTTCCTACTTGTTCTTTATTTTTTATATATATATATATGATGCAATGGCTAAATTGTCTAAATTATGTAAAACTGAAAATAAAATTTAAAATTTAACCAAAATTACACAAAAATATCTTCAAATACTAAAGTAAATTTATTCAATAAAATCACCATTGGCTTCAACTACAGCCTCCAGATGACTTTGGAATCTCCTGCATCACTTCTGCATGGTTTCTTTGTTTCTGTGCAGGTGACTAAAACAAACAACACACATGCATGTTGTGGATGAGGTTTTAAAAAATCAAAAGATAATAGCCTCCTCTGCATGTTAAAAAAACAAAAAAAACAAAACAAAACTAAAAAGCTATAATAATAAAAAGAAAAATGCCAACACTCAATAACATCAAATATGAACACTACCACAATATGCTGATTGTGTTCTTTCTTTTTTCTTTTTTTTCTTTTATTGTATTTCTTTTGGTTCTTTCTCCTACTTTATATTCTGCACTAGTAAAATTGAAGCTGCCTGAGATATATGCAAGTAAAATTTTATTTTAATATCAGGTATTTAAAATAACTGCTGAATAATTAATTCCTGTAATAGTGAATTGATTAGCAAGAAATCAATTTCCTTCTGAGATTATATGAAAATTTTCTTTATATTTCACAATCTTATAAAAAGCATGTGCTAATTGTAAAAGAGCTTCTCAGTTTGTAACTGATTCTGTGATTTTTGTAATTGTACTTTTTAAGTAATAATTTTCTTTCTCTTCTGTCTTTTAGGAACATATATTCTTGTTGACTGGTACTCCATTGCAAAATAACATTGAGGAACTCTTTAGTCTTTTGAATTTCTTGAATCCCAGAAAATTTGACTCCTTCACAGCTTTCATGAAAGATTTTGGTGACTTAAAAACTGAGGAGCAAGTTGACAAACTAAAATCAGTAAGTATGCTGTGTATATATGTGTGCTCATCTTTAAAATATTCTGAAGAACCAATTCCAATTATGATTTTAACAAAAAACAATAATGATACAATAACATTCTTCTTTCTCTATAGGATTTTTAAAAGTTATTACTAGTAACCATATATTAACTTGGAAAAAATTTGCTGCCATATTTTAATTAGATTTATGGTCTCTGCTTATCCTCAGATCCTTATGCATTTTTCCTTACATACAGTTTTTCTTTCATTCTAACCTGGAGAAAGCAGATGCTCTTGGCATAATGTTATTTTTCCACTCTCATTATCCCCATGGTTTCAAAATGAATTTAAATATTTATACAGATTTATTCAACCACATATGTCATATTTTTTTTTTTTTTTTTTACTACCATTTAACATCTTTCAAACAGTTTCATGATGTCATCTACTGCACCACGCCCACCTGAATTTGGCATCTTTGTGAGTGATGAACTGGTCCAAATAGTTTTTACAGGCTTCCAAAGAATTGAAGTTCTTCCTATTAAGAATTTTGTACAGATTGAAATAGGTGGTAATCCAAAAGTGTGATGACAGGTGTAACAGGATATCACCGCCAAGCTGTGCCAATTTTTGCTGGATCTGCAAAAGATGTGAGCTCTGGTGTTCTGATGAAGACATCCTCCCCAATTAATCAATTCTGGATGTTTTTCATGAATTAATACTTTTAATCACTCCATTTGGGAACAATATTTATCTGAATTCAGTGTCTGCTTTTACAGAAAGAGCTCATAACATAATCTTTGAATCCTATTACGCATCTTTGAATGCAAACTGGCTTTTCATTTTTCCCCAGGATCTTTTTTGTTCCCCATTCTTGTGAACAAGCTATTTTAATCATGTGTGATCATTCTTTTTTTTTTAAAAAAAGGGTAATTTTTTTGTTGTATTTTGGCAGAGAAACTCAAATGGAAATGTGAACAATTCATTTATTTATTTTTATTTATTTTTTTTTTGTTAAATCCTGTAACACCTAATCATCATAGTTATTCACATATCCAAGTGCTTTTAAATATCTCGTAACGCTCATGAGATATATGGAGTATTTCTGTGATAGTCCGTGCTGTGTGACCTGAATTATTTTTAATCACTATTTCAATGACCAATTAGGAAAACACTAAAATAATAGAAATTGGGACATGAAAGAAAAATTGGTAGGAAAAAGAGGTAAGAAATAAAGAAAGGATGATGGAAAAAATATTAGACAATAAGGAAATTTGATCACTATCTAGGGTTGATGGTAATATTAGCCATTTCCTTGTAAGGAAATATTTGGTTCTCCTTGACCAAGAAGCCAGTACTACTGTCAGTTGAAATTTATGAAATCTTTCTTGTAAAACAATTTTTCAGAAAAAAAGTTTTCTCGAATCCAGTAGCTGTTGTCACTCTTTTCAATAATAATGAGGATTTCCTTCCTAACCTTTTATTTGAAATAGTGTGGAACATCAACATCTTGATTATATCATTATTTTCTCAAGTTATGTAATATCCATTTTAGCTGTTACTACTGTTGATAGTTGTGGTTTGTGTTATCAGGTACAGTTTTTGTGATTTTGTAGTGCTCATACACAGGGTTCAAAGGAGAATGGTCTTTGCTAAGACCCACAGGCTTAACTCACTCAAGGTCATTTTTTAACCATTGATCTTAGGAAGCAGTTGTATATTGCAAAAAGTTTATATATTACTGAACGGGTTTGGCATCATGCACAACATCCATTATCGGTTGAGGCCTTGTAAAAATATGACCGGATTTTTCAGGTTAATGTTTTAGTTCTGTAGCAATTTCCAGTGTTAGGTAAAACTACCTTTAGCACAGCCTAGTCTATGTCCAATTTTCTTATCTCCTATACCAAATTTGTTCTAACTTATCTATACACTGTTATTTGAAGTGTTTTAGAATTTACTAATTTCACATCCTGAATTTTTATGATGGATTCAGAGTAAGTGCCATCACAGCTTTCATTCTAGATTATAGTTTGTTTTGGAAAAGTTTATTTTTGGGTCCTACTTCTTGGAACACTTGGTAGATGGTAGGTGGTTGAAAAAGGTTGAAACAAAGAAAATGTCATATGTGATTAATTTCTGATTTAGAAAAACAATTCATGCCTAATTTAAGGAAATTTTTGTATGATATCCTCCAAATACAATTAGATAATTAAGGCTATATGTTAGATGAAAATTGGAAAAATTATGGCTCTTTGCTTGTATCATAATTTTAAACAAATTGATACTCTCTCAAAACCAATCAGGGCACTGTCAAGCCACTGGAAGCAGGCATGGTTTTCTGAGCCAAAATTTATCTCATAGGTTGGGGTTATTTGTGTTTTATTTTATTTATTTATTATTTTTTTTTAAGTATCTTCTCTGAAAGAAGCATTTAATGCTTATTCCAGTTACAATCATCAAGTTACTGTAGTAGCAAAATAAATTATATAGAAATGAAAAAAAATCAGTTTAACTCTGGGATTGCTCATCTGACGTGTGTTACCAACAACAAAGTTGGTTTAATGTTGCAGTTTTCCCTGGTCAATCTCAGGGGAAAAGATGACAAGATGTGGGAGTTCAGTCATCAAGGACTTGAAAATGGTTCAAACACAGATGTTGTCATAACAGGTTGTACAGTGGCTCAGATATTGGCTTTCTTATTTCAACTTTTACTGCATTCTTGACCTTGAACATTTACAATAGTTACTATTTCATATTATATACTTTTGTTCTTTACAGCCATTATTAATAAATATTTAATATTTCTCTATTTCTTTTTTCTTTTCAGCTGTTAAAACCTGTGATGCTACGGCGTTTGAAAGAAGATGTTGAGAAGAATTTAGCTCCCAAAGAAGAAACTATTGTAGAAGTAAGCAAGAGAAATAATTTTTTTTCCTCTAATTATAAAGTCTTAGATAATTCAACAACTATTTCATTGTTGATGGAAAATTTAAAAAAAAAAAAACAAAAAAAAAAATTCCATGGGGAAATGGATTATGAAAATGCATAGCAAAACTTAATCACTAAATTTGGTACTCTTAAATATTCTGTATTTACATTTTTAAGATGAAATGTGAGAATTTTTGTTGACTGTCTTTGTATGTAGAAAATAATTGCTTTCTAAGATCTTAATATTTTTATGATACATCATTTGTGCATAATGAGTTTTTGTGCTTTGATAGTTCAATAGTAAAATAAAAGTTTGATATAATTAAATAGAAAATATTTTTCTATTTTTTTAAAATTTGTAATTCCAATATTTACATTTTTTTTTTTCCCCTCCTCCTTACTTTAGGTTGAATTAACAAATATTCAGAAAAAGTATTATCGGGCTATATTGGAAAATAACTTTGAGTTTCTAAGTAGGGGAAGTACAAACTCTAATTTCCCAAATCTGATGAATACCATGATGGAATTAAGAAAATGTTGCAACCACTTGTATTTGATTAAAGGTAAGAGCTTTTGCTTTATTTCATAAAAGTCTATTTCTTCACAAATTTTATTTTTCTTGTTAAGACAAAAACCAAGTACCTTCAATTATGATTTGTATACATTTTTTTTATTTTTTTTTTATTGTAACTGTTAATTAGATTTCTTAACCAGCATCTCTTATGCATGTGTAGTCACGCCAACAAACCCAGTCCAATGAAGTCCTAACAGATGAAACATGTCACAAATAAACTTTTTACACCATAGAATTTCCTCAATACTGTTCTTGATATAAAAAAAAGACATGTATAGCCCCATGCATTTACACAAAGTGGGTGAATTACAAGAAAAATTGGTCAGAAACAAAGGAACAACTTGCCTGGCATCCTTTGATAATGAATATAACCATTAGGTTCCAAAAATGCTGGCAAAATGACATAGAGATCATTTGTCTACTCAAGATCTGACACATGTGCCAGTATCATCCTCATTTGAGTCAATCTAGAATCACTATTAACATCAGAAATATCAATATCTGATTCATCTTGCTTTTTTTTCCCCTGATTCTAGAATAATTTGGGCTCTATATTTCTCAAATGAGTGCTCTGAATCACTAGACTTCATTTTGTTGTGTTGCTTGATTTCTCATTAAAAAAAGATGAAAAGGTTGTAAAACTTGAAGAGATGCCATAAGTAGCATGTGGTTAATGTCTTGTTGTTTGACTGCATTATTTGCAATGATGTCGTTATATATTATGGCAGAGTACATGGGAGCAGGTTGAACATTGAGAGCCAATATTTACAGGGTGGGTTTGAGCATGTTGAATACTAAAGGGTTAAGCATTAGTTACAGCTTCTGATTTGATTTTAAGGTTTGGTCAGCATTACATATGCCAGAGAAATCTTTTTTTAAATTCTTGTTCATTTTTCTAAAGGGTGATAGGCTTTTAATATATTTGCATTCAAATTAATAATCCATTTGTCAGCATATTTATTTCTTTAAATGACAAAATTTGTTAAAAAGATCATTAAATTTTCTTGTTTGTGGGTATTTAAGTTCCTAAGAATTGACCCTTTTCTGTATTTGTTTAAAAGTTGAAGAAAAGACACATTTCAAATGTGTAAAGAGTGTAATGGTTATTGGCATTGAAAATGAAAATTTGATGAACAAAATTCAAGTTCTGCCTTTGTCTTTTGTGTTCACTTTCTACTACTCCCTTTGAAATTAAGTGTGTATACATCAATTCTCCCCCATACCTATGAGTTATGGTGTAATGATTAGCAAACTTGTTTGGTTCACTACTATAACTGAATAGAGTGTTCAATCCTCAATAAGGGACCCCATACTTGTGACTTTGTGCCAAAATCAATCTAAGCTTAGTAAATAAAAGCTGTCTGTTAAATAGCAGGGTAAACTTGGTTCTGTAGCTTTAGGAAGCAGGCAATATGAAAGAACTATTTAAAATACAAAACCATGGAGAAGACAGTGGAGAAATTGCCCACTATCTTTCCCAAGAGGTCATAGCAATTCACTGATAATAAAGAAAACAAAGCTGTGGAAATCCATGATCGTTCCGAAGGGAAGTGGCATAAAAAAAGAAAAATAGCATTAATGTTATAAAATGCACTTATTTTTTCCTTTTTTCTTCATCCAATTTAAAAATTTCCTTTTTCAGGTGCAGAGGAAAAAATTTTGGAGGAAAATGGAAGGGAGCCTATTCTGGCTACTCCCTTTGAATCTTTGGTAAAATCTTCTGGAAAACTTGTGTTATTGGACAAGCTTCTCCCAAAACTCAAACAAGGAGGGCATAAAGTTCTGATATTTTCACAGATGATAAAAGTTCTGGATATTATTGAAGATTATTTATTAATAAAAAAGTGAGTTTTTTGGGTTTTTTTTTTTTTTTTTTTTCATTAGTAACCTGAGTTTTTTGTATTGAGTTGGTTTCTTTCATTCTTGTTGACTTGTGTATTGTTTTTGTCTCTCTTACTGAATTTTGCCCTTTTAATCTCACTCAGTCCTTTTGGAAACATTCTTGATATTATTCAAGCAAAGCAAATGTAGCTTGAGTATTGTCCTTTGATATATACTTTCATATATAATTTTGATGTCTGTCACAATTTTATACTTACCTGAACTACAGAACTGAATTAGATGAAACTTTTCTGATAAACACAATCTGTAAGCATCAGAGGTTACAGAAAAACTAGGATTTCTTCCATTTTGTATGCATAATAAAAGCTCAGCTTTTACATAATATGTACACTAAATGAAAATTCCATTTCAAAGCCAATACATTGTTTTTTCACTTTGTTTTTTTTTTTCTCAAAAGGAAAAATTTTCAGAAATGAAGTTCAGATTCATTAAAATGGATCAAAGTACATTGGAAAAATAAATTTCATAAAAAGATACTTTGATTTCTTTCAGGTTCATGCAATTTTTACAACATATCTTTTTACATTCTAAAATAATATAACTACTACTTTTACTGACAAAAACTTACTATTTTACATAATTATTTAAAAAGAGCTAGTGGTGCAGTGGTTTTAAACACTTATTTACTTGTCAGGGGTTTCTTAAAATTTTTTCAACTTTGCTTTTAAATTAATTTTAAGATACACTTATGAACGTCTTGATGGAAGAATTCGTGGCAACTTGCGGCAAGAAGCAATAGATCGTTTTTCCAAACCTGGTGAGTGCCTCTCTTGATATTTATCACCATCCATCTTTCTCTTTTTCCATTTAGAATTTGCTTTGTTTTCAAATACTGATAAGCTAAAGTTTATCAATGCTGAAAATTATTTCTTTGCAAATTTTGTTTTGTGAACAAGATATTTTAATTGCTTAATCTTATACAAGAAATACCCATGAACATTTCAGAAATTTCTATTTGAATTTTCTGATGAATCATAATTTTGTTAATGATTGACTAAGCTCCTCACAAGTTCTTCAGGTTATTATTTAAAGAGGATACAAGTGAAAAATTTGAAATTAGGTTTTCCATTTTAATGAACCAGACTTCAAACACATGGGTGTCATCACCACTTCTATCTTGTCTCTTTCATTTTCTCACTGAAACCAAATGGTGTCTCTGATATCTTTTTCTGTCTTTCCTTATGATCAGAACAATATTCCATTCTTTATGATGTATTGGCAAGGCATAATATACATACTAAGGAATGAATAGAATTTTAATGTTTTTTTTACTTATTTTTTTTTATTTGTGCAATTCTTTGTCTTTTCAGATTCTGATCGCTTCATTTTTCTTTTATGTACCCGTGCCGGTGGTCTAGGCATTAACCTCACTGCAGCTGACACTGTCATCATTTATGATTCTGACTGGAACCCCCAAAATGATTTACAAGTAATATTTCTAATTTGCTTTTTTGTTTATAGAAATATAAAACAGAACATAGTAAAGCAATATACATTTTGCTTAAAATTTTTTTTCTTTGTATGATGCATGTGAAAATGTTAAAAATTAATACTTTATTACTTTCAGAATTTTTATTCTTAAGAAAAAAAAAATTGAAAAAATGCATCAATATAAGTTTTTTGTTCTTTTAGGCTCAAGCTCGATGTCATCGGATAGGCCAAAACAAATCTGTCAAAGTTTATCGGCTTATTACAAGAAACACATATGAAAGAGAAATGTTTGATAAAGCCTCTTTGAAACTTGGTCTTGATAAGGCTTTATTGCAATCAGTTGGTGCTGACAAAAAAATTGGTGCACAGGTATCCATTTTTTTCTTTTTATTTATTTATTCTGTTAAAAACAATATCAAAATGGTCATTTACTAAGATTCACGTGAAGGAGAAAATTGAAAATTTGTTGCATATTTAATTTTGTGGTCAGTTAGCAAAGTAAGCATTTAGCCAACAATTAATAAAAGAACTTTGACAAAATCACTAAGCATTACCTCCATGGAATATCCTTACCCTGACCCAATACTTACTTCGGCTCTACAGATTTTGAGAATCTATCAAAATTCAACAGTTAAGCAAAAATAAAGCTACAACTGATACTAAAACAAATTCTTGTTTGTTAACCTGAACTTATCCCAGAATTGAAAGTTCAAATGAAAGCTGGATGATCAATGCATTTACCTCATTAGATGTTGGATTGTGAATATTAATAGAACTTGGACAAGACTTCTGATCCCAAATGATTTGGGATGGCTGATGTATATACTGGAATTGTAAATGTTATCTGCCTACACCTTTTTGTTACTTTGAATAATGAAGGACTTCTGTATCTTTTTGTTATGGTGTAGATAATTGTCAAACCTAAAAAAAAAAAGTGTATATCTGGTAACACTTGCATTATGCTCTCATTGATGTTTAAAGTTAGCTTCAATTAATTATATGTTTACCTATTTAGTCAAACTCATGGAACTGGTAAAATCCAATTATTTTTTAACAGGTGTTGTGTGTGTATATATATATATATATATATATATATATATATATATATATATGTGTGTGTGTGTGAATGTGTAACTTTAAATTTTAATTCTATTCATCTTTTATTCCTTCACAGCAAAGAGGACCATTAACTAAAAAGGAAATTGAAGATCTCCTCAAACGAGGTGCCTATGGTACCCTGATGTCAGATGATAAAGCTGGTGACAAATTTTGTGAAGAAGACATAGAAGAAATATTACAAGGCCGTACAAGTGTGGTGCAGATAGATAGTGTGGGCACAGGCTCAACATTTGCAAAAGTAAGAATAAATCATTGTACTAGTGAAATGATTGCTATTTGTCTAATATATGTTAAATATTAACATTTGTTAATAATCATTTTCTAAAAAATAAAAACATTATCCAAAACAGTTTATTTTTCTTTTAATTAAATATTGTACATATAATATCCTGTTCTGTTGAACAGTAATGTCTACGTTAAATCCTCTCTACTTGTGCATAGTGTTGTTTTATTAATTTTTCCAGGCACAATATACATAAGTGTTGATATTCACAAAAACAAGCTTTAGGAATCCATTGCAAAATTTTTTGCAACCAAAAATTTTTAATTTAGTTTGTTACTGCAAAAAAAAAAAAGTGGTGGAGTAAAAAAAAAAAAAAAAAAAAAAAAAATGCTAAAGCCTTGCCTATATATTGTATTGTATTCAGTTGGCACTAATGCAGACATGGTTATTAATTCTCTCATCTAGTATCAGAAGTTGCTATGTTACTAATTCTGAAATCAGGATTTATAAGGGACCAACTAATCTTCAAAATGCCACTTTTATTAATTAAATGAACTTTGAATTTTAAAGCATTTGACTTTATCATTAAAAAATAGGGTACTCTAATATTTTAAGTAACTGGCTAAAAACTAATCTATTAAGGAAAAAAAATATTGGCACAAGAATTTTTATCAGTTTTATATTTCATTATTACGTGGCTCTTAATGAGATTTGACAGATTGTATTCAAGATATTAAGTAAATTATCTTTTTTTTTTCATTTTATTTATTTTTAATTTTCAGATCTAGATTCTTTTTAAGATGTGATAATTAGTGACTTATACAGCCATTTAATGTTAAAAACTAAAGTCGTATCATTCAAGAAAACATGACAAAAATCGTTGCTTTGTATATCTTTTAGTGAATTCAGATTAATCGCCTTTTAATTAGGAAAATTTGTTATTTTATAAACCAGCCAACATTTCTGTATTTATATTTTGAATATCTTTTTTTTTTTTTTTTTTTTTTTTTTTTTTCAGGCCAGCTTTTCCATGAAGGATAATTGTAACATTGAAGTGAATGATCCTGATTTTTGGGCTAAATGGGCCAAAAAGGCAGATATTGATCAAACTAAAATGTCATCAAAAGTGAGTGAATATTTAAAAATTTTACTTAAGATGTTTTTATCTCTTAAAATTTAATTTTTCTGAGCAAATAGTTAAAAACCTTTTAGAAAATAGAAATTCCTATAACTTTGGAATATAATGAAAAGGCAACATCGTATCTTTCACTTGTATTTCGGTTGTGAATTAATTTTTTGCTGATTAAATTCTGTAACATTTAATATTCAGTTGGGCTCAGCATGCTGAAACAATTGAAGCTATAAATGTAAAAATTTGACTGTTCTACTTGTTTATAGGTTAATCAATTTAAACCACTGATGAATTGTAGGCTAATGAATTCAAACTGTCATTGATTTAAGTTATATAAGTAAAAACAATAGTTGCCTGTTTTTGCTTGTGTGTGAATATTATGTAAAACTGTAACTTCAAATCTTTCCCAATTTAATAATCCTTCCTTAATGGAGATAACTAATTTGTATATTCAGCTTTGTCATATTTCTAAAAAAAATAAGTCATTTGTTATTTATTTACAACCTGATTTTTTGCAATCTTTATAAATGAAAAATTGTTTTATCAATAACTTTTATAATTAGATTTCTTAGTTTTTCAAATAAAACCATTTTCTGTCCTGAAAGTGGCAACTGCCTTAGTATTTAGATCACAGCTTGGGAGTAAAGGGGAGGAGTAAGCAATGTTGACTTTTAAAAAAAAAAAAATCTATATTTTGAAAATCTAACAAATATAAATTATAATATGAAATGTTTTAACTTACTGAACTACTTCAGAATAATTTCAGTAATACCATTTAATGACAAAAACGAATATCCAAGAAATGACTACATAAAGCAAAAGAAAGGGACTTGACCTGCTCAATTCTGAATATCATTGCTTGTAAAGTGGACAAAATTATTCAGAAACTACTAAAAATTTATGAAAATGTTATTTAAGGAATTTAGGTTGAGATCTTACTGCTTTTACAAAGAAGCTTCCAGGATCTTTCAGAAATACATAACTAGGCTATGATGTTATGGGTATCATTCACTCCTTTCCCTTGCAACAAGGCTGTCAAAGTTATAATAAAGGAGCTTTTGGACAAATGAAATAATAATATAATTAAGCAATATAATGAAGGTTTTAGCTATGGGGCCATTGTCAAAATGTTAAATTATTAGTTGGATATATTTGAATGATTTTTCTGAGATGGAACAAGTTTGGCACCACCAAAAATCTCATTTGAACTAATGCGCCACAGAAACTTTCTTTATAAGCAATTCTAAAAATGTCAAAACTTGGTGAATTCAATGGTAATTCATTGGAAGCATCAAGATTATTTAAGACTGCACAAGAATGTTTTAAAAATCCTATATCCTATAGAGAACAACCAAGACATTGGGTTTCTCAGATGGAGTTTGCTTCTGAGCATTTAAAGAAGGATAATAATTTTTGGAAGAATTTTTTTAATTTGAAGTGAAACTTAAATTCATGATGTATGGAAAGAAAAGAATGGTTATATCTATGATACAGTTAACTCTCAAAAAAGGTTTTATTTAGAACAATGTAGATGTACTTTACTGGTTTTGTCAATCCAACTTGAATCAGATAGAAAACTTAGAAGAAAGATTGAAATATTGATTTCACTAGAGGGATTTCAGTAACATTAACAATTTGGAAGTTGTTTGCAAGGAAGAGTAGATCAAAATGTTAAAAGAATCTTATGATGGGCTTATGAAAAATGCCTTTAAGCATTAATTACAAACCAGGGTTATTCAATTAAGAAAATATGAAGTCAATGTGCCAATACTTTTTCTGTTGTTACTTTAGTTTATATTTTATTGTGCATTATATCCATGAAAAAAATGTTTTTAGTAGTTGTTAATTTTATATTAAAATACATTGTGAGTATGTTAAATATTTTGAAAATATCTAAATACTTTTCTTTTTTTCCTCATCACTGCATTTCTCCTATCAAAATATTTCCCTTTGGTCTTTATTTTTCTTGTCAGTTAAAGGTATCGGTTCTTTCCAAAGAATTTCATTCAAAAAATAGATTTCTTCAATTTCATCCTAATTGTAGAAATTCTGACTGATTCATGAAAAAAATGGTAATCTCTACGAGAGTTCTGGTGATAATTTTGGGTGTAAATAAATTGCCCTCTTCAATTGATCCAATTTTAGTAAATATTTGTATCAAGGAACTTGGTACTGAGAAAAAAAAAACACTTTGTTCACAGAAGTGGGCACTGAGTAATGACTACATGATTTTATGTTGGTTTTGACATATCTATGATCAGTAACTGGTTATTTTAAAGGAACTATAATGTATCACGCCAATTCTATTGTTTGATGTTTACCATAATCTTCCAGGGATGAGCATATAGTTTCTCATTTATAGCTATTGTTTTGATCTTTGCTTGTTGTCAGGGCCAGATAAAGATGAGGCCTTCTAGATCTTGAAGCTCTAGGTTTCACCCTGCTAGACCTGTAGGTAAACCTGGCACTGATTAGTGTACAAATTCAGTTTATCGTGTAATATGATGCAGAAATGGCTAAATTTTATAGCACTGAAGAATATTATGCACGCTTCTATATGTTTTTATTCATTGTTTCTCATTCAATTCAAATTAAACTCGTTTACTGAAAGAAAAAGCTACCACCTCACCAAGATTTTAAATAATTTGAAGTTACCTTAATCTTTAAAGTCTTAAATTTCTTTGGTTATTTCCTCACAAGATTTTAAAACTTCACTGATTTTGACTTGGTTGTTTTGATTTTTATAAAATGCAGAATATTTTTTTTTTGTTTTTTGCTACTTTAAATCCCTGCTAGTACATGTAAAACTAATCAGTTGACAAACTTTTCGTATTTGCCTTTAAAAAAAAAAAGTAAAATTAATGAAATATAATTTTTGTGTTACCAAATACTTCTAAAAATAAATATATTCAAAACTTTTCAATAGTAAAAAGTAAAAGAAAATTTGCAATTTTTTTCTTGCAGTTCAGTGTTCATGGTTAATTAAATTAAACCTTAGAAATTTATTAATTTTTTCCACTAAAAATGTTTTTAAAATTTTGAACAACATAGTACTTGTTTTACAGAATTTTATGTATTGACTATGTAGCACTAATGGAAATATAATAAATGAGTGAAAATATTTTTGTGCCTTTTTCTTTTTTATTATCTTAGTTATTTGTTTCCTTTTTTTATCTTTTTAAATAGAAAAATCTTATTATTGAAGAACCTCGTCAACGTCGACAAACAGCTCGTTATGGAAATCAAGATCTATTTAAGGTCTCTGATATTGATAGTGACAGTGATTATGAGGAATCTGGTGGTGAGGAAAAGAAAGTTGTCAGTACAGGCAAAAAAAGAGGACGGAAAAAGGGTAGTGGACGCAGAAAAACTTTTGATGAAGATTTTGAAATTGATGACCCAATTGATGGTAGCTATTCTCGAGCAGAATTGTTTAAAGTTGAAAAAAACCTGCTGGTGTATGGGTAAGTTATGCATTTATTTTTATTCAATTATGCTGACTTTTTTATGAAATAGCTTCACAAACACGTGTGTGTAAGCATTTAATGTAAAACCTACTTAATCATTTTAACTGCCTTTGAAAATATGCAACTGCTGTGTGTGAAGCTTTCTAAAATGCTCTTTATTTAAATTCTTGATACCCAATCTTATTGACAGCAGCCCTGACAATGCATTATTGTCTTATAAAAATTGATTCAACTTTGATTATTGGCTTCGTTTTTGTTCTAAAATAGCAAGAAATATTTTGTTTACATCTTGTGTCAATATTTCTGCCAGCAGGAGGAACAAGGAACTTTTTTTTTT